CACTCCAGCCTCTCCAATGCAGGAGGGGAGAAGCATCTTTGCAGTCTACAATCTTTTAGGACCTGAAAACCTACCTGCGGCAGATATTTCCATCTCAGTGTAGTTACTCTGAGAACCAGGAAAAAACTGCTGATAGGCTGAGCAGCATTAGGTAGGTCAGACAGGCATGTGCTCCAATTTAAGAGAAAGTTAGGATGCTTGGTTCACACTAATAAAAAGGGGCTATTGTTGCATTTTATTCGTATGACTTTGGCTTTCAGGGAACTGTGTAAACTGAGTCAAACAGCGCTGTCAGTCGATACCATACAATACCACCATAAGTTTGTTTCTATGTACCCCGAAGTACCACAACGACTCTTCAGTTTGTAGTAATACGGATACATTTCAACAAATTAACACCTTAACGTGCAGTAAGTATGGACAGCATGAAGCCTATTTGTAACCACAGGCTCACATTGTATGAATGTATGTATGAATTGTGAGTCATGTGCTACTAAAACAACAGACGGTGAATCAATGAATTTACACAAGCTTCTACAATTGTGACTGGTTTTGCAAACATCCTCAAGGTAGTGCACAAAAGTGGGGCTTGTAGTGAGCCGAAAAACAAATGTATCGTTTATGGGTGAGGTGAAAAATACACTACCTTAAACACGGACCAAACATCCTGAAAGTGTGAACATCTGCAGTTCCATCACTGAGACAACTACATCTGCTGATTGTGACACAATCAAACGCCTCAGAACAAGCGAGTAAGTGGACCTTGAATTATGCTTGTTTTTATAACTACACTACCTTAACAAAAAAACACCCTATTTAGAGCCAGTGTGTAGTTTGTCCATTCTGGGCTACTGTAGAAACATGGTGGTTCAACATGGTGGACAAACAGTGATTGTTTTTTTTTGCTTTTTAGTTCTGATCAATTGTTAGTGTCACAATTAATTCACTCAAACGCTGGAATATTATCAATAAGAAACATCAGTAATATAAATAACACAAATGTAATGTCAGTAATGCTCCGTTGTTAATTCCTGAACAACTGCAGTTTTCACTGGTTTATGCAGCACAGCACAGCTGACTGATGAATGTATACAAAACATTGTTTTACGTCTGGTAAGTTGTTCTTATATATGCCTCAGTGCTTTGGTTGAAAAGGCACACACGTATTTGTTTGTTGTTGGAGATGTATGCACACATGCAAAAGAACAAAAATGTGCATGTGAAGGCACATTGTAGTGGGCACCATATGCTTCAGTCCTTTATTACTTTGTACTGCTTCAGCTCGGCCCACAGCTGCAGCGTCATGACTCCACTCGTGTCAGATATTCACAACGAGGCATAAGGAACCTGACGCAGCAGGCTACCTTCACAAGTCTGTATCAGCATGAGCGTTTTCTGCTGCGTCCCCCGTGGCAGGAGATGCACATCAAGTGCGTGACTCTAGACACAGTTTGCACTGATCAGGAAAACTGAGGAAATTCCTTATAAGGCTTTATAGGGAATATTCACAACTGTGTTCCACTGCCACCGGAGAAAATAGCAATCCCATGAATCAATCTGGTGAGACACGAGACCCAGAAACAAAACATGCTTTTAAAACTGTTCCACACGTTTACATCCCAGGCTATCCAACATCACCATCCCCCATTAACTGTCATCCTCCAGGTTCAGAGGTATTGATCCAAATGTATTGACGGAGCTACATACAATGTGTTGGTTTACTTTCTTTGAAGGTTTTTAACAAATTGTTGTAGCATTTTAGTTAGCATGCCTAGTAAGTCCTGTTTTTAAACACAAATTCCTCAATCTTGTATTAGATAATGTAATTTTAAGATTTTCTTACTATTATACTTCCATCTGATTTTCATAGTTATGATTCAAACTGTCTCACCGCTCATAGGGGACAAAGTTCTTCTCTTCTACCCTTTGCTGTGATTTGTAGAAGCACCCTTGCTGATTCACTGACAAAAAACTCTGTAAACCTGTCTAACTTTTAGTGAGTGGGTAGCCCTCTGGTGCCAACAGCTCCTTCACAGCAAACACTTTCCAGCCAATAATTAAATACAGCACTTCAACACATTTCTTAGAAATAAAAAGAGCAGTTGTATAAGCTCTTTAAAAGCATTTTTCCAACATGACATCGATGTAAATAACATTCTGCTTGAATTATAGTCGAATACTCCAACCATTAACTTACACAAGTTAGGCTCAAATCATTATCAAGGTTGTACTGGAAGAAACTCACTTTCACACTTGTCAACAAGACAGTTGCTGCCATGCTGTTTCAAGTCAATGTTGGGTGTTGTGGTGGTGCAATGCTCTTGTTTGGGAATAATCGTGTTTATTATTTGAAAAGTGTTTCAAACAGCTGGAAAACTGCTTCTTTTTTTACAACCTGTTCTTTATAAACATCAGACAAGACTGAAAATAAAATACCAGACACATTTACTACAACCCTTGAAAATTGTGTTTTCACCATCTTGAGAAGTTGCATCATGCCTAAAAGTTTCAACTACTTGACCAGGCAAGTTTTTCTGACTTCAACTGTGCCCTTTCCTCCAGTAACATAAACACTGTTGAGGCTTGCCTGCATAAGTGTGAGCAAATTAGTAATTAGATTTTATGAAAGCATTTTGAATTTGAAGAAAATGGGGAAAAAAGTAATACATATAAGCTGTAAATACAACAGTGGAAATACCCAGGTCACAATACAACATTTAATTTAATTTCTAACTTGGTATTAGAAAACAATATATCAAATAAACTGTAGAAGAGTAAATAAGCCATTTCCATTCCTCTGTATTATGGTGGCTTAATGTAAACAATGTAACATGTCTAGTGTACTAACTGTGTGAAAACATGTGAATACAACTTAAATACACAGACGGTTGTAAGCAGGCTCAGCCAGCTCTGTGAGATTTAACCGCAGGCTACACGAAGACAACCGACACTCAGGTGCGTGCTTAGATTTGTCATGTTACCACAGTTTTTGACAGAAAAGTATGTTTGAAATATGGAAGAGGTGAGATTGCTTAATGTATGACATGTTTCATGTAGGACAATTTAGTTTTGGACTCATTACCGGCTCATAAAGCTCTCAGTTCTCGCCAATGTAGTTTCCAAAAAACATTTAACTGCTACCAAGAACGACAACAGATCATTTTATCTATGAAAAACAGCATTTGAGCTCATTCTAATTAAGGAGCGCCCATATAAAAACAAAACCAAATACACGGTGAGCGTTTGAAGCAGCCGGGAGTTCAACATCCAAGTATGAATATTAATATAATTACTCCACACTGGAGAAAAACAGCCAACGTGCAGAAAACACTGCAAGAGGTTCGAGTGTACAGAGACTTTCCACATTCAAAGGGTCGATATGTGTCATCTGTGGTTGAGAAAACATCAGGGACTCATTGTAGGAGGAGCAGTACTACACTTGACAGGTAGGGAGCAGACTCCGCGATCAGGTTGCAGGCCAAACCTCGGCCCCACATGCCCACCTCCACCTACAACAGAGCACTGCATCAACTAACAACAGAATCTCCAAAGTGTGATAATGGTGTCACATTTCACCTGATGCGTTCTTCTTGTCCTCTATTCTCCAAACTAAAACTCCCTGCTAGCTGCCACTGACGTACATTCATTGTACGATGACAAGCTGACAGACATGAGGTAGATAAACTGCAACAACAAACCAATCAAACACAAACTACCTGTATTAAGGCTGCTCAATTAATC